GTTACTGACCTAAGGACAAAACCAGATCAATTGGGATATGGGGAGAACATGGCAGAAGAGGAATGACTCTAAGAATATGTATTCAGATTTATATTTCTTCTGATTGCTTCTGCACAAAATATTCTCCTTATGTTGTGAGAGTTTTTGTTTCCTGGGTTGAATAGAGAATTTTATATGTTTTTAGAAGGTGGCTGAGGTTACAAATATAAGTTTGGATTTCTAGTGGTTTAATGACTGATTGTGGTTTCCCTCCAACAATCCGTGGAGATGCTAAGTACTCTTAGGTGCAAAATGCACTGCAGAAATAATCCAATTCGAGACTGCTTTAACTGCCCTGGCTCAGTGCCAGGGAATCCTGGGAATTGTAGGTTATTGTGGCACTAGAGCTCTCTGACAGAGAAGGCTAAATGTCTCACAAAACTACAGTTCCCAGAATTCCCTAGCTTTGAGCCAGGGCAGTTAAAGCGGTCTCAAATTGGATTATTTCTGCAATATGTTTTGGACCTTAATTACAGATTGCTAGTCTATATCTCAGTATACCCACAAAACTATGGAGTCCAAGGTTCCCCATGAGAGAAGGAATGATAGTTGAACTGGTTTCATTCAGGCAATTTGAAGGCACACACACATAGCTATACCCTGAGAAATCTTTAGACATTCTGCTTTAATCTTTAATCCCCCACAATTTGTTTGCCATGAAGGATTTAAAGAAGGCGATTTCCATGTCATCTGTTCCAGGCCAGCTCTGACTAACTAGTGGGATATTTTATCCTAATCCAGATTAGAAAGCTGTAACTGTTAAGATTATACACAAAAGGTTTAAATCTGGTTAGCATCTGGATAGTCCCTTGTTCTTTTATATGCCTCTTTTGAATACCTTTAGCTAAATTTCAACAGTGCAATTTTATAATGTCTAGTTAGAGGTAAACCCTGCTGAATTCAACAGGAGTTATTCCTAGGTGCATAGAATTGCAGCCATCTTTCTGCAAGTTTAGATCTTATTATTTCATTTGCAGGAGTGGGTAAGTCGGAAACAGCCCAGGGGAAAACAACTTTTTTCTTTAAGATTATACAAAGTCTTTCCTCTCAATCCATCCAATGAAAGCTCGTGCTAAAATAAATCTATTAGTTTTACAAACACCACAAGACTTTTTGGCTGAAATCTCATGAGTTTTTTTGGTGAGATATTATCTATTATATTGGTGGGAAACATGGCAGTCTAGTTGTTCTTGCACTGCAACTCCCAGCATTCTCCATCATCCACTGTATTGTCTAGGACTGCTGGGAACTACAATTCAAGAACAGATGAGGAGCTGCATGATTCTCACCTCTAATCTATTACAACAGGATGATATTATAAATGTATAGGACTAGGGGCTTGTTTCTTTTTCCATCCACTTACTTTCTTCCCTGCCTCTTTCCTCAACCTTCCCTTGTAGGATAAGCAGTCCTGGCAGAGTGAAAGGGAGATTTTCAACACCCCAGGCATGAAGCATGAAAACCTCTTGCAGTTTATTGCAGCAGAAAAGCGAGGAACCAACCTGGAGACAGAACTGTGGCTGATCACAGCTTTCCATGACAAGGTAAGAGATGTGTGAATACTCTGTAATTTTGCTCACTACAGAAGGACCTGAAGCAAATTAAAGTAAAAACAAAACAAAATCCCAAATAGGTCACCCGCTACTTCCCCCCGCCTTTGTCACTTTACAA